GGTTTTCACATCCTTCAGGTAGGTTAAAATAACAAAAGGTTTAGAATCTACTAATTGAAAAACTTTAAGATGAGATGTCTTCAAAATTACAATACTGAAAAGCCAATATCATTTTCATAAAACTATGAGCAGTGAAACATTCTCACCGCAGGTGCTGCATTTGGAGCTGGTCGCTGTTCAGGCGCACGCCCTTCTTCCCTGGCTTTGACAGACTGAAGAATTGCGAATATATTCTTAGAAAAATTCTGAAATACAAATGGATTTTAATTAAGCCCAATTAAAAGTAAAAACTCAAAGACAGTAAGTTAACCTAATAAGCAATTTCAGACTAAGTTTTCTTCCTCTCAATTCTGCCCCACTATACCATCATGAGTTATTATTGTTATATGCATTAGAAAAAATCAACTACTATGGGGAAATCGATCTAATTATTATAAAACCAGTGTCATTCATTTATTTCCATTTTACTTAAACTGTATAATTAGCTATAAATTTACTCATAGTCTGCAGCTATTTAAAATGTAATCAGGATTTGTTATCAAAAGAGGCTTCTTAACTCAATCACTACTACAGTGTCCCGCCCCTTACCCATGGCAGGTACGTTCCAGGGACTTCCAGGGTCCAAGGTGCTACAACTGCAGACAGTACAAACCTTAATCACTCTTCAACTCTGCCAGAAATGTGGCAGCAGCTTCTTCATCAGGAGCTGCAGCTTCTTCAGTAATTCTTATATTTTTCAGTCTAAACCTATTCCTGAATCTGTGTAACCATGCCTCACTTGCATAAATGGCTTCATGTCACTCGTTTCAGGGGATCCCTTGCTGATGTCTTCTTTTAAGCTCAATGCTTTTTGGCATAATGGATTTTTTTTTTAACTATTTTCCAAAATACACAAAAAGTAATGAGAAGAAAGAGTAGCACTATTTTATATTTTTGCAAATCTCCTTAATGTCTGGCTTGATAGAAGATAGCTGTATTCCCATATCTACTTCTACATTTAATATTTTTTGTGACACCTTGTTTTGGTTAAAGCATATTAAAGAAAATCTAGCCTCACATAGAGAACTGGAAAAGTAGTAGTATTATAATCAACTTCAGATGACTGGATATTCTTCTTTGGTATCATACAAAACTCAATGAGTGAAAGTTTCTCAAAGGTTACTGTGATGTGAAAATCACATCCATAAACTTTTTGCACTGTAAAATCCATTGGTCTCTTTTGTACTTTAAATGGATTTTTTTTCACCCACACAATAGCATTCATTGGTCAGGAAAATATCACTCACTGAGTTATGCAGATTTTCCAAAAATTGACACTGTATTTATACAATATCAGCAAATTACATCTGTTAATATCACCATGGAAGAGTCTTTAAGAATAAAGAAGCTGGTATGGTCACAGTAGCAAAAAGAAACTTCTAAAATCCCAATTTTCCCATTAAAGCTCACATTTTAACACTGGCAATAAATACTGTCAACGGCTTTCCTTAAAGGACAAACTTACTTCATTTTCGAAAAAATGTTTGCCGAATAGGTAAGTCTGAATAATGCAGTTATTCAAATAAAAAAATGGTTTTCTGTGAAAAAGCAGCTGGTTCAGCATTCAACTTAGGCAACAGCACAAGTGCTATGCATGGAGATGACCGTCATAATTTGGTATGTGGCAGTGATTTATACGTTATGATTTCACCACGCAAATTCCTTGAAAGATGTCACTCAAGGTCATGATTTAATAAAATGAGTCAATTTTAAAAGTTCATCAAGGACATTATTAGTGGGTGAAAAATACAATGGCTACTCGTAAAGTTTGGTGCCGGTGCCAGCAGTTAAACCACCACTGCTTTTGCACCAGCAGTGCAAAGGCCAAACCAGTGACAAAGGCAAATCGTCTTAATCTTATTAAGAAAATGGATGAAAATCTCACCACTTTAAAAATAATGCAGTGTTGTGTCAGAGACACAACTTTAGAAGATCTATCAAAATGTAAGAAATTATAAAAATGTTATTTCTGTAATAGAAGTACAGGTAGTAATTTTGTTCCTTTTAATGATCTCTTTTCATCAATTTTCCAACAATGAACAATACTAATTTTTATAAGTTTGAAAATGTGTTTTTAATGAGTATAAAATCATGTTGTTTTATGTAGGGTACTTGCAATGGTAACATAACAGGACATATTTATATTTCTGATGAAATCTTCGACTTGTCTTTTATTCCAGAAATTCAAAAACTAAGAAGACCCTAATACCTGATAATAATGAAAGTCTGCCTAAAATCATATAGCCTTTTCGGGCTATGAGTACCTACAAGGTTTTTAGAGTTTGGAAGATTAAACAGTATACAGAGAACATATCAGTCAAAATCATTTTTTGTTTTTAAAAATGTTAATACTCATAGAAGTAAACATAGCTACCAAACAACTCTTAAATTAATCTATTTTTAAAATAATACAGTGATGCCAGTGACACTAAACTAAATTAGAACTCTGTTTCAAAATGATGGTACAATCCTGCCACCTAGAGCTCAAGAAAAATTATTCTACTTAGTTACTAGAAAACTTAATGTTTATTCTATAGGTAAGATGGGGCATATCACTTATGATTTATTCCACTGCTATGCAATTCAGACTTTTCAACACTTATAAGCACTGGTAGAATAATGTAAGTCACAATATTCAACTATGAGCCCCATATTAGGTAGTAAAAACGAGTAGTAACAGGTCACTTGATTGTAAATACAAATATTAACTCATGTTCTCAGATTTCTCTAGAATTTTAAGCTCTAGAGAATGATTCTTAATCTTGAGCTCAAGTACTCTGTAAAAGAAGTAAAAGTACCCAACAAAAATAATTCTCTCCTTTACATAATCTTTTCTAGTAGCTTTATTCTTCCTAAATAGCACAGCAAATTTGAGGTCAGATTCCCAAATCCGCAAATGAAACTAGTTTGCCAAGACCAATGCTAAAGCTCACTTTCATCAATAACCTCACACACGTCTATGAACTCCCTTGCCAAATCATCAATCACTATTAACAACTGTGCATCAATGGAGAATTAACATTTAGGAAAACTGGGAGGTAGCGGGGTGCGGGGGGAGAGACATGAAATTATGTAAGTGAAACAAAAATCAGTGCAACCTTTTTGGAGCTCCATTAAGATACTGGACATTTAGTATCTTTCAAATTTTTGTCAGTCAAAATTTAAAGTACACGTCTCCTTCAGCCAGCATTCTGCTCCTAGGAACTAATCCTGTTGCTATATACACGTAATGCCCAAAGGTATACGTACAAGAATGCTTTTTAATCCATTATTTCTAATTGTGAATAAGAAAAGTAGAGAAGAAGGGAGGAAAGGAGGAGAAGGGGGCGGGGGGGAAATCCCACAATCCTGTAGAGCTAAAACAACAACTGACTCCGTTAATGAGGAACAAGGAAATATTGCTACGTCCACACAACAGAATATAATGTATAAATTCACACACGGAATGCTTGCAGACTTATTTTCTTAAGTTCTCTACTTTGTGGAGAAAAAAAGTTACTGATATCAATGACCAGAGAGCTTGCCATCAATAATCTGTTTATTAGGTTTAAGCAAAGATCTACTCAACAAGAAAATTGGGCCATTCCTTGGATTCACAAGTAAGGTACAAATCAAAGGGCTTGCACTGTGAGTCAGACTTTTCCATCAGCTTCTTTGGTGACCAAAAACCAACCATGTGGCAGAACAGAATGGCATATATGGCCACTTAGAATTCTAGGTTACTGATCTTTCAGAAATAAAATCTGAAACCTTCTAATAGCAAATTTTAATCAATTCCATAACCAGCACCGATTAAATGCAGTCCCTCTAACGAATGACTAAAATATCTGAATTACCTTTCCTGTGCTCTGTAAGATGGTCGTCCGTGTCCTCCACACTCTCTCTCTGCTGACGATATCTCGGGTCACATCTACCTCAGCGTCCACAAAACTCCTCTGTTTAAGAGCAGTGATATCATCATCTAAGTCAGTCTTGATAGTAGATCTTTTCTTAGCCATAATTTTGGCTTTGATTGCAGCAATTTTTTCCACTGACATAGCTTCAGACAAAGACCTGAAAGCAATTTCTTTTTTGAATTTCCATAGCAAGGATCTCTTGAGCACATCTTAAATACGTTTTGGTACATTTATAATTCTTGGTAAAAACACTTTTAAGTGGCAATGATTAAGATTTTCTTATCTATAAAAATGACATACTCGATATTTCATGATCGTATCAGATTTTTATAGGTAAAGATCCCAGAGCCTATGTAGAAATATTTTATGAGCGAATTAGTAATTTCTTAGAATATCAATGCAAAAAAAATTTTCACGGTTTTTCATGTTTCCCTCCTACCCAAAAGAGCAGAACTCATTAATATGTGTGCTTTTCTTTATATTTTCTGAGATTTGTATTTGCTAACAGCCCTCTATCTATGCAAATTATACAAACACACAAACACACCACCTTGGAGGCAGGGGTGAAAATGCATTCTTCAAAGAATTCAAAGTTTAGGTTGTCCCTGAAATTTATTTCAAGGTTTCAACATATCAAATTCACAGTTGACAGAGGCTTTTTATAAGCCACATAAACAAATACTCCTTTTAATGTCTGGAAGATGAAACCCTATTTTGAGGTTTCTTTTTCTACACTTGATTTTAAATAACAGGTAAAATAGCAAAAAGAGGCTATGTTTTCAAAACTATAAAGAAACACAACACTGAAAGTACAGATTTTAAGATGATAAGGTTAGTGTTTTTTCCGACAATGTAAAATGAGAAAAAGAGTTAAAAAGTGTTTGGGTACCTTAACAGTTGACAAAATTATTACTCTAAACACAAGATGACAATCTTGAAATACGTTTAAACAACATCTGGATAAGGGACAGGAATTCCTGCAGGTTTAAATACGGTAATATTACACAGTATACGAGTTTATTTATATTATGTATGGGGATGCTTTATAGCAGATGCTCAATATGTACCTAGTATTTGACTCATATAATATTATGTAACTTTCCCTCAAAACTGAAAGCATACAAATATACCTTGAGCCAAATTAAAATACTTTTCTAAATTATAATGAAATGTGCATTAAGCTTTTACTTCTAGCCAAGATGAAGTAACAGAGGCTGGACTGGCCTTCCTTTGAAAAATCAGTCAAAATACACGAAATGACAGATACTTGACATCAAGCAATGACAGTCATCTCTATCTAACAAATGAAACCAAATAAGTGAGCCCTGTATGTGCCAGTTTCTTGCCTTTTAAAAGTTTCCAACGTGACACAGGGAGGAGAACCCAGGCAAAGCTTAGTGGACTTTGAGAAAATAGAGCTGCGTCCAGTAAAACCTAGGCAGCTGGAATTCATAGGCCAGAGAACCTCAGAATAGAGCGCTGCACTGACGATCTCCCTTGGGTCTTCCAGCAGGATATTGCTTAGCACACGACCATGAGGAAATTAAAGCTGGGTGGAGAATCACCCAAGAGAATTAAGAGAGCAATGCCCAGGGCTCACAAAGGTGAAGAATAGCACCTACCCCCACCAGCCAGACTGGAAACCTCATATTCACGGGACATCAGGTAGAGTACTCGGAATAGACTTGTCTCACCTAAGGGTACAGAACAATCTTCCTACTGAACATTGTTCAAATAACAAATGTTAAAGAACAAGCCAGTTCCAAGTGATTTAACTATGTCTCAAAACTGAAAAAAAAAAAAAAAAAATTTAAAAATTTGATTGTATATGGCCTCATTAGCAAATTCTCTCAAATGTTGGAAGAAATAATACCAATTCTAAACAAACTCTTCCAGAAAACTGAAGAGAAGGAAATACTTTCCAACCAATTCTGAGACCAGAATCATCTTCACATGAATGAGAACAGACATTACAAGAAAACTAGACCTCATAAACATAGCTGCAAAATCTCCAAATAAATTTTCAAATCTAACTTAATAATATATAAAAAGGATAATACATCTTGACTATGGTAGGCAGCTTCTGAAATTACTATTTAATAATCTCAACCTTCTGGCATTCACACCCACACTTTAATCCCCTCTCTGTGGGTGTGTGCAGAATACTGTACAAGTAATAGGATGTTACTCTAAAGATGTGGCTACCAAAAAAAAAAAACTGTAACTTCTATCTTGCTTGGCTTCTCTCGCCCTCTTATTGGCTCACTCTGATGAAGCAAGCTGTAGTGTTGTGAAACCAAATGTGATGAAGAACCAAGAGACACCTCTAAGCAACAGGTGAAGAACTGAAATGTGTCTACCAGCCTGAGAGGAACCACATTCTGGAAACAAGCACATGAACTCGGAAGCAGATCCTCTTGCCTACGTATGAGAGTAGACTTGGCCAACGCCTTCATGTGGCATTGTGACACACCCTGAAGCAGAGAAGCCACCTACATCACCCCAAGACCCTGACTCTCAGAAACTGAGATAACAAATGTATATTGTTAAGACACTATGTTCCAGCTTAACTTGTTGGCAGCAATAACAGATAATAAAATAACCAAGTAGAGATTATTCATGGAAGGCAAACATTCAAAAAATTAATTCACCATGTTAATAGAAAAGAAAAACTGTATGATCATTTAAATAGAATCAGAAAAAAACATTTGACAATAGCTAGCATTCTTTTCTGATAAAATATCAGCAAACTCGGAATAAAAAGGATTATTTCCTTAATCTGTTAAAAAAATTATCTACAAAAAAAACCCTTTGCTAACTTGTTTATATAGTAAATGAATGCTTTCCCCTCAAATGAGGAACAAGAAGGTCCAATCTCACTGCTTCTAGTCAACACTGGGTATGCAAGTCTAGCCAGTGCAATAGGCAAGGAATAAAAGGCATCTAGTTTGGAAAGAAAGTAAGTAAAGATGCACTTTGTGTAGACAACATGATTGTCTATGTAGAAAAGCCAATAAAATCTACCAAAAAAGTTACAAAGGATAATCAATGAGTTAAGCATGATTGCATGATTCAGGGTCCATAACCAGAAATCAATTTGTTTCTATACTGGCAATATACAATCAAGAATTTAAAAAAAAAAAAAAAAAAAGTATCAGAAAGTATGAAATACTTATAAAAAATAACAAAAAGACATAAGCCCCATACACTGAGAATTATAAAATGTTAAGAAAAAACAAAGCAGACTTAAATATCTCTCCATTATTAGAGAAATAAACCGTGTTCCTAAGTCAGAAGACTCAGTATTTTTAATATGTCAATTCTCCCCCAACCTCATCTACAGATTCAATGCAATATCAATCAAAATCCCAGCAGGCTTTTTTGTAGAAAACTGCAAACTCATATAGAAATGCAAAGGACCTAAAACAGCAAAGCACCCTTGAAACAGAACAGAGCTGGGAGGCTAAAACTACCTGATTTCAAAACTTATAAAGAAAGAGTAATGTAAACAGTGTTACCAGCAAAAAGACAAACAGATCAACGGTACAGCATAGGTCCAGAAATAGAACTATACATGAAAGAACTGATTTTTTTTTTTTTATCCAGGTGCAAAGACCAATGATGCTGAAACAAGTGGCTCTCCATTGGCACAAAATTGAGCTTCAGTCCCTGACTCACAAAAACAAGTGCATTTTTATCCAGACCATACACAAAAAAATTAACTGAAAGTAGATCACGGACTAAAATGTAAAACCTACAACTATAAAATTTCTACAAGAAAATATAGGAGACAAACTTTGTTGACCCTTTTCAGGCAAAGATTTCTTAGATCTAACACTGAAGCACGATTCACAAAAGAACACACTGATAAATTAAACTTCATAAAAATTAAATATTCTGCTCTTCAAAAGGCAGCTAGGGGAATGAAAAGAGAAGTCAGACCAGAAGAAATGTTTGCAACGCATCCTTTAAAAAAGGGCTTGTACTCAGAACACGTAACAAACTTTCAAAACGCAATAATGAGAAAACAATCCAGTAACAAAATGGACAAAAATCTGAAGACACTTCACCAAAGATGACACAAGGTGGCAAACAAACATGTGAAAAGGTGCTCAGATCTTTTAATTTTTAAATGTTAAAATTAAAAGGCTTGACTATACCAAGTACTGGCAAAGATGTGAAGAAACCAGAACTTTTAAACGCTGCTGGTAAAAATTTAACAGTGTAACCACTTTGAAAAACAGGCAATTTCTTAAAAAGTTAAATCTATAATACTGTACAATTCCTCGCCTAGGTATTTACTCAAGAGAAATGAAAACACGACCATGTAAAAACTGTACACTTATGTTCATAGCTTTAGTTGCAATAGCTAAAAAAACAGCAAAAGTGAAATGTCCATCAACAGGTGACTAGGAAAAACATTACATCCACACAAAGGAATAGTAATTCAGCAATACAAAAGGATGATCTATTGACACATCCAACACCAAGGATGAATCTCAAAATGATTATGCTAAATGAAAGAAACTGGACCCCAAAAAAGTCCATACTACAAAATTCCATTTATATTTAACTCTAGGGGGAAAAAAACTGATCTAAAGTAATGGCAGATCATTTGTCGCCTGGGTAGAAGATGTGGGGTGGGCAGAGCACAGGATTACAAAGGTATACGGGAAAGCTATCGGGGGACGTGACAGCCATAATCCCGACTGCGATGACCATTTCGCAGATGTACGTGCATGTGAAAACTTATCAACTTACACACTTTAAATACATGTGGTTTATTATATGTCAATTATCCTCAATAAAGCTTTTTAAAATCTGCGTTGATTTAAATTGCTTGGATAAGACTTCCAAAAACCTGCATCGTGCCAAAGAAAAATTAAGAAGTGATTCTAACTATAGTAAAAACATGAGATCAACAAAATAAGACAAGAGGCCAAAGCCAGCCATGCCCGTTCATTTAGGAACAAAAGCATCTATAGCTATTTCCCAACCACAAGAGAGTTGAAGAGTTGGAAAAAAAATATATGACTTGCAAAGCCAAAATACTGAATATGTGGCACTTTACAGAGCAAGTTTGCTGCTCCTACTATCAACAAGAGATTACATGATATATGAGTAGCTTGGATCATAAAGTAATTTTAAAAAGGAAAGACCAATATAGTAACACAATCAAAATTTTTCAGAAAGCACAATTAGCACAATGGCTTCCACTCCCCAACACACACATATCATCTTTGGAACTTAGGGCACAGAGGCACATAATGAATACAAGAGGTAAATGTAAATGTAGACAGCATATTAATATCCCTCTTCCATATGACCTTTCATATACCTAAACTGCCTACTTTTCCACTAAAGAAATTCTTACCTAATCTGTTCAGTCTGTACAATTCCTTCTTTGTGACCCTCCAAGCGAGCAGCCAATCTCTCTTTATCAAGGCGCACACACTCTTCATCCTGAAAACCATCACTGGTTAGTAAACATTTTAAATTTTTATTTAACTTTTATAAAGAAAAAAAAAAAAAAAAACACCATGTAACTTCCCTGACATAAATTCCCTCTTATATTCCCACCCATAAAGTTCCAGGCATCACTGACCTTATGTCAATTTTAAGACTACTTTTATAGTTACATAAAAACAATAACACTAAATATATGTTGGATCAAGTAAGAACAGAACTGACTGAAAGCTTACCAAAAAACTTGTTACTTTTTTGTTTGATTAAGTGGTCTTCTCATAACATATCACAGCTACTTTTATTCAGAAAGATATCATACAACAAATAAATTCCCACTCTTCAGGAAAGTTTATAACTAAATGTTATGAGAAGCCTTCGCCAGTCAAAAATTTTATTTTGGATCTAGATTTTTTTTTTTTTTTTCCATCTGTTGCCCCAGGTCCTGAATCCATCAGGACAGGTCAAAACACTAGAAGTGAAACTTTAATGGTTTTCAAAGTGTGTTCTTCCAAACACTAGGAATTCCCACAAAGTATGCCATGGGCCACTTTTTGACTGAATTCAACCTTGGGAACTCAGCTTTTTAATTTGCATATTAGAATTTCAGGTAAAATTTAGTCTGAAAAGTGGTTACTTAAAAACAAAATTTAGTAACTCTAATCTAGCTTAATCCCCATATTCAACAAAGGAGGACCAGAGTCAGGGTCTATGACTAACAGAATATAAAACTGTATAAAAAGCATTAGTATATTCAAGACCTAAAAGGACACTGTGCTCCAGTTCCTGCTCCAACATTGATCTCTCTTATAAAACTCTTAAGGCAAACATATTGCTCACATGAACACAAGGATGATATTTTAGGAAATGCAGTAAATTTTTGCCACTAGTAATAACGGCGTAACACTCATTACTAGAGTTCCTTCAGAGTCTGCCGATTTTAAAAACTGCAGCCTAGATTTTAATCAGATCTGCATCCCTACCCTCAAGGTTTCTCCCTCTTAGCATAGTGCCTTGCAGGTTCTCAACAGATCTGCTGAACTGAAAACTGTTTATGTAATATAGCTGTTTAAGTAACTCATTTAACTAACTGCTCTGGAAATAATTTTATTCTATTTCCTGCAGATTTTTCAAATTATTAGAATCCTAGGAGATGAGCAATTCTGACATGTTCAATTTTTCAATAATTAAACTGTGTTCAATAATTAAACTGTGAATTTCAGATTTTTCCAAAAAAAAAAGGTCTCCTTAAATTCACTCATTTTGTATAGTGGGTCACAACTTCCTTTTACACAAAGGAGTTGAGGGAATTTTCAGTTTTACTACCATAAAATGTGTGCCCAGCATTGTGGAATGGCTAGCAGCCAGAGTGCCTGGGTTCCAATCCTGGTTCTATGAACCTCCCAAGTCACTTATTCTCTCTGAGCCAGTCTGTTCGTGGATGACACACATAGTACTGCCTACTTCAGGAGCTTGTGGTAAGGATTATCTGAGCTGATGTATATGAAGTACACAGAATATCACCTAACAGAGCAATAACAATGAGCTGTCATTATTATCGTTACCTAAAACACATCAGGCCCTTGTCTCAAAGTATGATAATTAAAATTACATTATTTTAGTATCAAATTTTGATCAAACAGTCCTATCCCTTTAACAGCTATCTTTCTTGGTCTTAATTGTGTATGCTTTGCTATTTATGTAGCAGGCAAAAGGTACATCTGACTTTTATACAAGTGTGAGATGAAAAGATTTATGGTTTCTAGCCATGTGAACACTTGTGATGACTCTAAGTGTTATTCCTATGTTGTTAATTGACATATGACTGGTTTAGTCATTTCTCAGATCTTAAGTGTGCCTCTGGTGCATAATCTTCCACTTTCAGGGGCTTTCATATGTAATTCATCTGGGACTTGTAAAAAATTTAAATAAATAGTATCACAAAATTCCTAAGGTTTAATCATCTCATTCAGTGCACTAGCTAATCGACAAATTTTCTTTCCAAAAGTAACTGCATTTCTTATGTGGCTTCTATTTCATGTGAACTATCCTTATTTACCAATATTAATATTCTACTTGCTGTCTATAAAATGCTATAAAAACATGTAACCTGAAATGTCAGTATTTTAAGAAGTAACTATAATAAGCATTTCATGTTCATAGCTCTTAAATGTGAAGTAAATTTCCAAACCATCTTATTCCAGCATTATGCACACTACAACCCAAAGGCCAAACCTGGCCCACCATCTGTTCTGTAAAATTTTATTGGAATACAGCCTTGCCCATTCATTTACGCACTGTCTATGCCTGCCTTCACATCACAATCACAGTGTGGAATAGCTGGACAGATGAAATGGCCCCAAAAGCCTAAAGTATTTACTGTCTGGCTCTTTGTAGAAACACTTTCCTGACTCCTGATCTAGTCCAACATTTTCATCAATAAGGAAAATAAAGTAATTTGTCCATCACATGGCTTATAACTGAGAGATCTTGAACTACTGCTCAAGCTGTCAACTGTTTATTCTACAATTTTTCCAGAAAAAAGCTCCTAGGACTACTCTGAACAAAGAATTCTTACTGCTACAGAATCCCAATTTCTGTAACAATATGAATCACCTCTAAAATCAAATTCCATTACCTCAATTCGTGGTTTCTTTGCTTCTGCTAAAACTTCATCTGCAGCCCGTTTGACTGTAAGAAAAAAAGAAGTAAATAAATGTATAGTTTAGGGATAGGTTTTTAAAAGTTCAATATAAACATGGACAAGACATACCTTGAGTAGACCGCTGAAGACCTATTTCTAGAGGGGCACTTCTGTCTATACTTGCTGACGTTGCTGAAGATTTAAAAAAAATGTGAGATCAATATTCAAGTACATATATTGGATATTATCATAAGTAAAATGCTGAAGATTTATTATATTACTTTATATATGGTGATTTCCCTAGCTAAAAAATAAGTTTTAAAGCAGCTTTGTAAATGCATTTTACTAGAAAAGATTATTGTGTATTAGAAAGTCTACTAAGAGTGCAAACTAATTTTAACAATTTAGCTTATAAATGATTGAGATAATCTGACTGAAATCAACTGGTCACTTCAAAGAACAGACTTGAATACACATGCATATAGAACTGTATCTATACATAAACATACATATATAAAGGAAAGGTTATCGTTTAAGTTAGCAATCACTTTACGTTGCAATTTTTAATTATTCTAATTGGTAAAATTTTTTAATTATTTTTTAAATTAAATCATTTAATTTTTAAATGGTTCAAAATGATGAAAAGATAACAGAGAGGTGTATCTCTCCCCATCCACCTAGTTCCTATCACCTTATGTAACTGCTGTTAGTCTCTTATATATCCTTCTAGGATTTCCTTTTGTAGGTACAAGAAATACAAAACAATATTTTTACATCCCCTTTTCTTAGACAAAGATAGTATACTATACATACTGTTCTGAACCTTCTTTTAACTTATCAAATATCACCGACATCTCTCGGTATCAGTACATGAAGCATTTTTTAACCCTTTTTTTTTTTTATTGCTACATGGTATTCTAGTGCATGGTTAAACTGCAATTTAAATAGTTCCAGATCAATGGGCAGTTCAATTTTAACAGTTTTTGTCACGATAAACAATGATACAATGAAAAATTTTATCTATATGTTGCTTCACACGTTTCCAAATTTACTTCTAGAATAAAGCTCCAGATGTAGGATTTCTAAGTTCAATCTGTAATGACACATTACTGCCAAATTTCTTCAGCAGGGGTTGTATCAACTGACACTACAACCAACCATATATTATAATATCTATTTCCTCACAGCCTCACCAGAGTATACAATCAAACTTCTAGATTTTTAGCTAACGGGAAAAAACTAAAGCTATCTCTGCATAGTTTTAAATTTGCAATTCTCTCATGAATGAAACTAAGCATTTTTCATAATTTTATCACCTTTTCTGTGAACTATATGAGCAAAATCCATTGTTAGTCTTTTATGTATATATTTTCAAGACCACTTTGTATTATTAGAGAGATTGGCCTTTTTACTGTGATGAATTGAAATATGATTACCCCATCTGTCATCTGTCGTCTTTTTTTTTTAATAACGCAAAACTCTTTTATTGTTACCATCCCACTTTCCACCACTGATTTGACGTGCCTTTTTAATCATGTTAAACTCACATAACTTAACATTTAACAGATAAATTATTCTATCAATTTATTCATTCATAAGTTTAAATTACTAGGATTTTACTGTTAAGTTATAAACTCTAGAATGGCTAGTATTTTCTTATTGCTCTCTCCAAATTTCTGACACTTACTTTATCAAATGAGTTTTAGAATCATCTTGTCCAGTGCCACCTATTCCTCAAGAAAACTACAGAGATTTTTTTTGGGATCATGTTAAACATAACAAATTATGTTAAAAACTGATTCTTCAAGATATTATGTCTCCCTAAGAACAGGGAATGTCTTAAGATTTGCTCAACTCTTTAATTAAACCATTAAATTAGTATTTTTCTTTAATTAGCAAAGCAATATTCTTGAAGACTAAAAGTAATTTGTCCTACAGAAACCACAGGAAATGACGAAGACAAATAAAGGGCAACTCTATTCTGGATTCTGAAAAGAAAAACCATTTGTTCTAAAGCACTGTCCCCAAACTAGCCTGTTTGTCAGGCTCACCTGAGATACTTTTTAAAAACAGAGAATCCCAGATTGTATATCAGAAGCAAAAAAAAAAAAAAAAAAAGTTTTCAAAATATAAAAGCCTCTGCCTATCCTCCTGAACTACATGCTCTTCACAGCAAATTTAAAGGCCTTCCTCAATCCTCTCCTAGGATTCTCACCCTTTGCTTATCAGTATACTTTGCATGCTTAAGACAAGGATTTTGCATTTTACACAGCACCCTGCACAATGCCTTTAAGAAAAAGCACTCAGTAAGTGCTTGCTGAATGCCCAGTGAGGACAGTGCAGGAAGACAACACTCTTGATGATGGTCTTCCCCTCAATCTTGCTGTTAAAGTCATGGAGCAGAATATGGGACAAGACAGCTAATAATGACTCACTTAAAGGTAATAAACTCCACCCCGGGGAAGGTGAGACCAAACGATTCTGTTATATCAACTTATCTGTACTCTGTAAGACAGCAAGTTAATAACTACTCGACCAGGTACATACCTACTATTAACTATTGTTCTCAGTGCTGGGCATCTGACAGCTGTCTGCCCCTCTGAAATTGCCCTCTAGTCAGAGTGACAGACAATATATAAGTAAACAAACAGATACATTATTTCAGGTCAATATAAGGGATTTGATGGAAAATATATCAGGATGATACTACCCACAGACAGGGTGTGAGGGAAAACAATGCTATTTTATACTTCAGAATGGTCAGGTAAGCAGTCTCTGACAGAATCTCATTTGAGCACAGATCTGAATGAGGTGGTAAGAAGTGAGCGAGGTGACACTGTGAAGAAATGAAGGTGAATGCAGAGAGAATAGCAACTGCAAAGGTTATAAGGGTTAAAACAGTTAAAAAAACCAATAAGACTGGACTGCTGTGAGCAAAGGAAGAGTGGATGATGAGGTCAGAAGCATAAGCTTTAGGTAGAAGAACTAGCAGGTGGGTCAGGACAGGGAGTATGAGCATTATCATAAGTGATGAGAAGCTACAGGATGAGAAGCTGCAGGTGAGTGACACAATCAACTTTACTCGTTTTTCCAGACAGGTCACTCTAATGGTTGGCAGAGACTACCCTGTAGAAAACAACGGGTGGGGACCATGAGAGGGCTCTACAGTAGTTTAAAGAGGAGGCACTGAGCAGGGTGGGAGCAGACTGGTTAGAAGTTGGCAGACTTTTAAAGATGGAATAGATGTGGGATATAAGAGAAGGGAAATCAAAGGTTTATCCGGGGTTTTCAGCCTAGGCAACCAGATGAATGGGATACCACTTATGGAGATGGGAGCACTGGCGAATAGACCTACTGATCAGTTTTGTTCCCCAGAGGAGCAAAGAAAGGAATCGGCATTCTATTTTTGGATATGTTAAATTCCATATGCCTATTAAATAACCAATGGACGATATGGAGAGTGAATCTACAAATCCGAAGCACAGGAACAGGTCAGTCAGCATTGAAGGCAAGAAGTGTGCAAAATTGAATGAGAGGTGGACAAGGAGCAGAAAGAGAACCACAAGAGCCTGGGCCCCGAATGCCAAGCGAAGAAAGGCTCTCCAAGAGGGCGCAGTCAACAGAAGCAAGTGCTGCTGAGGGGGCGAATAAGCTAGTGTCGGCCTCAAAGTGACTTCGGTGGGATGGTGAGTGAGGAAGACAGCCAGAATGGAGAGGAGTCAAGAGAAGCACGTAAGGAAGCAGTGGCAGTGATACCACACAACTCTTCTTCCAACGAATTTTGCAATAAAAAGGAGAAGACAAATGGAGTAGATAGTAGGAATGTGGGATCAAAATTTTTTTTGAATGAGCGATGTTATTCTATGTCTTCTAAAGAGAATGATGCAGAAGAGAAAACTGGTGATGCAAACAAGAGAAAAGCAACAATTTTCAAAGGCAAAGTTTTTGAAAGTGTGAAAGGAGATGGAATCCATACAGAAGGAAGAGGGCACTGGCCTGAGAAGCAAGGACACTACATTCATGCTAACGGGAAAGACGGGAGCATATGGACACAACTGTAGGTAGGTCCATTTTCAGTAGGAATACAAATTCTCTTCCCACTGCTTCTTATTTCATATGGGAAAAAATGATGTCTACTTAAGAAAGCAAACAATTTAAAAATTACTCACATGCTTCACCATTGAGATAGCCAAGTAGGTCTTTTCGGTCAGGTCTTCTAACCACAGGAATATTTTCAGTCTGAAATAAAAATTTTAATTAGATAGAAAATCAATTATAAGAAACTTGGTAAAAATAAACATCATGTAATGTCTGAATTTTGTTGCAACATATCTTGACAACATTTACATAGGATCATATTTTTAGAAAAAGACAAAACTAAAAGAACCTATTAAAAACTTGAAAAAAAAATCTAGTCTATGGCCATGCCTCCCTGAACACGCCGGATCCGTCTGATCTCCGAAGCTAAGCAGGGTCGGGCATGGTTAGTACTTGGATGGGAGACCACCTAGGAAGACCAGGTGCTGTAGGCAAAGGAAGGAAGGAAAGAAGGAAGGGAGGAAGGGAGGAAGTCTATTAAAAAATTTAGAAAAGCTAAAAAAAGAAAAAAAAAAAAAAAACACAGCTTTGGCTTTTTAAAAAATCTGGAAAAATTTTAAGCATATTAAATTTTGATAACTTTACTCTTGAATTCAATTAATATATACAAAAGATAATCATTAGAAATGAAACAATGACCCCATCCCTCTTCAAAATATCAATTTGAGTCTTTTTTATTCCCTTCGCTAACTCTGTGTATTTAATTTTACTCATGTTTGTATATTTGGAGCAAGTATCTTTTTAGTCCCATTGCTTGTTCATTTTATGCAATGGTTCCAAAGTACTTTCTTTTCTCACACCCAAACTAGACCGCCTCAAAATATTCTACTTGAACTCTTCCAAATAAACTAACTTAGCCACTTAACAGTAGGTATATGTTGTTTAGGCACAGGGGAAAATTTAGGAGATCAGACAGGAAAATATTAATGGTGGTTGTTTACTTTCAACATTACATTTTTTTTATCCTCAAGTATGTATAAATTCTGTAAGAAGTATAAAAGATTAAAAAATAAAATCTGGAAACGTACCTATTTTGGTAAAATGGACAATTTTAAGTTCCTACATAAGCAATTTGTAAAGAAGTGATCAAAACAAATAAATCAAATCTGTATACATTAAGCACCAAGCCCTCTTTGGGCCATGAATTCAGTGAATCTTGTAATTACCACAATTTTCTCTATCATTTTTATAATGCAAACAAAGAGTAAGGAAAAACTAGTGCCTTCAGGATTAGTTAAAAACCCTTTCTCACTTTACATAAGCAACAATGAATGAAATAACAAGAACCTTTAGTGTCTCTGGCTACTGGACATTGAGTACTGATTTAATTTCACTGCACCAAACATTTTGCACACAGTGTTTACACACTCAATAACAGATATGAACAATATATATAATCACTTAAAATTAATATTTTTTAAAGAGACAGCAGACTAACCTTTAATTTCTGCTTATGGGTATAAACATTTAAAAGCCCATAGGTTTTTCTATGCATTTGAATATCATAAATAGTTTAAAATTTTTAATTAATTCTCTTTAAATTACTATTTCTAACATACTTCAACATTTAATCACTAATAAGTCATGTACACGTTGACAGCCAACTGATAAAGATGGATAACTACTCACATCAAAATAGGGGCTGTGGGTAGGGAAAACTATCTCAAAAATAGTCCACTTAGAAGAGCAAATTACACAAAGGAGTCAGGAGAATAAAACTATAGAACCCTAGAATTTTAGAACCCGCCCTCTCAAATCTGTCAAATATTTACAAAAAAAACCAATAGGATTAAATTTCACTTGAGTGAGGGTTCTAAGGGACACCATAATAACCACAGTTATCAGTCACATGCATCAAACATTCCCCAAAGACATACTCTCTACACCAAAACCAAGTATCTAGATCACCTATCTTACCCCAAAATGAATCGATATAGCCAACAACATTCTAATTACCACCTAATTCAGTTTTTAAAACTCTAATATGAGTTAATGTGGCTTTATAGAGAGATGCTTCTATTTTAATCTACTAGTTCTCCAAGTCCCAAGTAGTTTCACCCTATATACTATTTTTTCAATACAAATTTGACAATAAATATGTATTTCTTGTTCTAAAAAGCAATGTCCAAACACTGCAATGTAGAAAGCAGGCAAAACTAAATAGGAATTTATCAATAAAGTTGGAAAAAAAGTTTACTGACTAAAAATTAATTTTAAAAAGTAGTCTATTAATGTTGATTCTTTCTGACATCGAAAAAGTTTTAAGATTAAACTGGAGTTCTGAGTATCAGGGTCCTTCCACAGACTCATAAATTTTTTTAAAACATCTCTATAAGTATCTTTAAAACTTCTGTTGTAAACACTACCAACATTTTACATGTAATAATCTGCATAATCACAATAATCTAATCGAGAACCCCCAGGAGACTTGCATACAAACCAACCTTTCATTCCCCCCCATTAACAGCTGACATTCTACTCTGCCATCTTGACCACAACTCATAACTCATTCTTTTGATCTGAAACCCTTGGGGGAAGTTACCCACGGCAAAGGATACCTACTATTAATTAAATTGAAAAAGTTTTAAAATGAATTCTACTTACGGCAGCACGTCGGACATAAACAGGATGAGAAAGGTGCACATTATTGAGAAGAAATAAGATAGAATCCAATGTGTAGTACTCTCTGGGTTGGCCTTCCTTTCCAGTGCTGAAATAATTAAGGCAAGAGTTTAACTCACAATTCTATTTCAACTCTTTAGGCTTACTCACATGTATTAATTTACCTATACCCACCTTGCTATCCAACAATGGATCTAACATGGCTAACAAAAATACAATGTACAACATTTAATAAGTGCAACTGTCATTAAGGCAAAAGAAACACGAAGACAGACAATGAAAAAAAGCAAGAAGTGCATATTCATACTCTAAGGCACTACACACTTTTTAGAATTTGACACAAATTAGGTTCTGGGCTTTGTCAACAGACAAACTAATCAGTAACACATTCAAGAGGATCCATAAGAGAAAAGAATCAAACTGATTAGGAGAAGCACAACTATTACCGGTGATACACTTACAAGAAATTTATCCTATGTCTCCTAAGTAACATTCTCAAAGTAAACACAACGATAAACTTCAGAGGTATAATTCTGACATCCTTCAAATTAAACTTATGATGTAAAGCCAAAATAAACTGTACCTGTGATAAACAATGTAGTCTAGGGGTGTGAGATGTTTAATGAAAGCAAATAAAAACTTGCTCAACAAATGTTAGTATCCAATCCCCCCCCCACCCTACATTTTCCCCATCTAGAAATGTCAAAGTATCTGAATTCATCTGAATACTGCCCAGTACAATAGGCCCCAGACCTAATTTTCTAGCCTCCATATCCACTTTTCCTCTAAGTTGATTTATTTCAAATCACACATCACTGTCAATTACTATACTATGAAATCTAATACATGGGTAACAACTGGGTTTTTTTTTATGATACAGAAAAAAGCAAAATGACAGCATACTGCATGTGACAGGTAGTTTTACGCTATGAATACAAACACATATACACGTACACAAAGATTAAAAGCAAATAAAGATATATTTATTGGTGTGATTCACTCTTGTAAAAGTTTGAAATCTATTCTAAGCCATCTTTTTTTCACTACTGTCTCCACTAAATTGCTGTCGAAACATTTCCTTTCCAGCATTCATGCCTTTTAAGTATACAGTCCCCTTGTCCTGAAAGACCTAATTCACCATTTCACCCTCAGAATCCCTATCCATTAAAGTTTATTCATTTGTTCACTCATTTATTCAAGAAAAATTTGTAGCATCTCTACATGCCAGACTTCTATGAAACTTTTCCTAACATTCCAAGCTGGAAGTGACTGCTAAGACGTAGAGGTTGCAGCTTCTCTATTCTGATTAGATTAACCTCTGAGGCAAAGACCAGGATCCAAAGAATTTTCCTATTTCTCAGATTGAACCGCTCAACACCCAGACTTCTCCTTAACCTTTTTTTTAAAGGAAAAAAAAAATCAATTAAAACTCCAAATTCAATTCTGTCTGTGCAAATTCTTTGGAAAGGGCAAAACATAGGAAAAATCAAAATATCATTTGTTAACATTTCATAAAGGTAATGAAATCACAAGCCCTGGAAGCCAAAAAACAAAAAATAAAATCCGACCAATCAACTACCTTTCCCTTAGTTTTTCATCAACTCTTCATGAAGCCCACTACGTCCATTCATCAAAATGAGTACGGAAGTTCTAGCCCAAGGGTCCAATTATCCAAATGAAACACCCATGAAACAAACATCAATAAAAAGGCCCAAACGATTCTGACCCAACCCTACACTTTTTAATGACTTAAAATTCAGGACACCCCACGTGGATGGATGTCCGAAAACACTTCTCTTTAAAACACATTTCCCAAAAAGCACACACACACCATCAATTTCTGACTCGGATCTGCGAAGCTCACTCCATGTTACCAGCAAGTTTCTCCCTGAGGAAACTCCTGCCTGCACCTCCAACATCAGCTGGATGACTCCTCCAAAGCCACCAAATCTCCCCGTCCTAACTCCATGTAGTGGGTTCCCTGCCCTCTCTCCTCCAGGAAATCGCGACAGGAGATCAAATTGACCAGGAGCGGCAAGGGCCAGCGGACAGAGACAGCCACAGCATAGGGCGGCCTCGAAAAGGCAGAAGCACTGAAAACACAAAGGGGCGTCCCCCGGAGCGCACCCGCACGCGCGCCCGGCACCCCACACGCACCGGCGAGACGGCCGGCGAAGTCAGAAGCTGCCCGGCACCTTCCGCCTTAGCTTCCCCGGGACCGCGGGGCACGGGCGACTCCAGACGCCGCTGCTCGCTCGCCCTCCTCACCGAAAAGTGCAACTTCGACTCCGGAGAAAAACTTTTCCCCCGAGCACCCGCTTTTTTCCCATCCCCAAGGGGGACGGGGGGGAGGGGCCAGGAAAGAGGTCGCCTGGGGGCGCCCGACTCTGCCCGGCCACCCCCGACCCATAGCCCTGCCGGACTCACCCCCAAACCACATAGTTGGTCTTCACATTCTTGGGCCAGGAGAACTCGCCGAAGATCACTTCGTCTCCCTTCACCACAATCTCCTTCTTCTGGATGTTGTACTGTCGCAGGACACTGAGCACGTCCGCCATCTTCACCCCCCTCGCCGCCGCCGGCCCCGGGCGCCGCTGCCGCCG